GCTATCCTTCAGCTTTCCTTCAAGCCCAAAACTCTTCTCTGCCCACCCCGTCGGCAGACCCACACCCCATCTCCACAGGCCCCTTCAAGCTCTGCCTGTGTCAAGCGCCCAGCATTTTAGAATCACTGACTTTAAACCCAGACTCCAGAGCACGTGCCCTTTTATGAGCGAAGAGAACAGAATCAGCATAACTGGACTCCCTACTGCGCCCGAGCACATATTTTCTCAGCTCTGACCGAAACCCCACAAGGCGTGAGACACTAGAGTGCTAGTTATGGGCAGGGGGGCCCACAACCGGGACCACACAGCTCAAAGAGGGAGGGGAGGAGTGAACAGTCACACAGCTCCAATTTTTGTAAATGATACCGTTAACCAAGTCAGGCCGGCTCATCTCTAAATCTCTGGATGACTAAAGGTTACCTAACTCGCACTCCTCCAAATTCACAGTTGAGAAATTATTAAGTGAATTTCTGCCTGATATATTCAGAGCTTCTCAGAAGCCAGAGCCTGCTCCGCTGTTTGAACTGAATAACTAACTCTGTATTCAAGTGATATTAAAGGGAACAATTCCCTTTTTTTCTAACTTGGGGAATTTAATTTAGGTGTTTTATCGAAAACTCCTGCTCCCAGTAGATTAATGGCCCACTATATCTTTCATATTAAGTTAATTGAGTGCAGAATGGCTTTGCTGGATTTGAATGACAGCTTCCAGAGCTTAGCTCATCATTTAAGAAAGAATAAAATGAGGAACCAAAATCATGGGCCTGAATGATCACATCTTTTCTCTGTTCAGGGTAGGTTTTTCCATTTTCGGTTGCCACACAGTACATTAATTAGCAATCAGGCAGCGCTGAGGCCAGATGATTTCCATCCTCCGTCACCAATGAAACACCAGCCCAGCCCATAACTTTCCATCTCATTGTGTAGCTACAAAAAAGAGGGACACTTCATGAGTGACAGCCCTTCACAACTTTGAGAGCACCTGTGCTTACTCCCTCTCATTTCACCCTCAGCTCTCCATGATTACCCTCATCTCACAAATGAAGAAACTGAGAAACGGAGCAGAGCGACAACTTGCTCGAGGTCACACACCAGGAAGTGGCAGAGCTAGGACCAGGCTCCCAGCCCATTGCTCCCTCCCTAGACCACAGTAGCCTCGTGTGACTTCACTCTGTGATCGTTCACTATTTTTTTCAGTATAAATTTTGTCCTGCCTACTTTTTTCACCCATCTCTTCATCCATTCCAAATTTAAACAAATGAATTCTTCATTCGCTCTTGCCCATCTTATCTTTCTAGCCTCATTTCCATCAGTACCCACCATGAACCCCAGGCTGCAACCACATCAGAGCATGTGCCGTGTTCTCTGCACGTTATGACCTTGCTTTTGCTCAGTACTGTTCCCTCGGCTGCGATGCCCTTGCCCGCCTTATTTACCTCCCCACTTTTCCCAAACCAAATGCCATTTCCTCCAGGGGGCCTTTCCAAATGTACAAATATTCTGTAGCAAAATATTACAGGATTCTTGCATCTATGTTTATCAAGGGTACTGGCTTGTAATTTACTTTGCTTGTATTGTCTCTATCTGGCTTTGGTATGAGATGATGCTGGCCTCCTAAAATGAGTTTGGAAGTGTTCCCTCCTCTTCAATTTTTTTGGAATATTTTGAGAAAGACTTGTATTAATTCTTTTTTAAATGTTCAGTAGAATTCATCAGTAAAGCCATCTGCTCCTGGACTTTTCTTCGTTGGCAGATTTTTTATGACTGATTCAACATTCTTTTTTTGTTTTTTTCCAAGGCCAGTATATTTCTTTTATTACTATTATTTTTGTTTGACTTAAGATGGTTGAATGATTTCATTTTCATTTATAAGCATTACAAGAATTCCCATGCAAAAACCAAGACCGTATACGCCTAATTTCAATCGGCCAAATTCCAACCCATGAGACTGGACATTCAAGATCAAAATCAAAATGTTGCTTGATGGGCTTCCCTGGTGGCGCAGTGGTTGAGAATCTGCCTGCTAATGCAGGGGACACGCGTTCGAGCCCTGGTCTGGGAAGATCCCACATGCCGCGGAGCAACTAGGCCCGTGAGCCACAACTACTGAGCCTGCACGTCTGGAGCCTGTGCTCCGCAACAAGAGAGGCCGCGCTAGTGGGAGGCCCGCACGCCGCAATGAAGAGTGGCCCCCGCTCGCCACAACTAGAGAAAGCCCTCGCACAGAGACGAAGACCCAACACAGCCCAAAATAAATAAATAAATAAATAAATAAAAATGTTGCTTGACCTTTCCAATAGTAGACATCACGGTCATCCTTTGAGAGATCGGCAGGTCCCTGACCTCCCAAACGCTACAGTTTGCCATGAGTTCATACCAAAACAGGGAGCCAATCGATGCCTTGCAGCACCTAAAATAAATCTGGCAAGTAATTTCATTCATGAAGACAGGACACCTCTACACCAAGGCTGCCACCCACAGTTATCTCCTGGTTCCTGCTCTATAGAAAAACCTGCTTTTGAACAGGCATGGTATCTTCTATTTGGGGACTGATATTAATTTTTCCTTCCAGTTTTCCTCAAAACTCTCAGTAGAAGCAAAGAGACTTTACAAAAAAGCTTACCTCTATAATGTCAAAAGAAATACAGTTGACCCATGAATAATGCGGGGTCAGCGGCACCGACCCCTGTGAGGTTGAATATCCATATATAACTTTATGATTCAATATTCTTATTAGTAACTGGACGGTTCAGATTTTCTATTTCTTCATGATTCGGTCTGGGTAGGTTGTATGTTTCTAGAAAGTTATTCATTTCTTCTAGATTATCTAATTTGTTGGAATATAATTGTTCATAATCGTTTCTTATGATCCTCAGTATTTTTGTGGCAGTCGTTAGGTAGATGCAAATCAAAATCACGATGAGGTAGCACTTCATACCCATTAGGATTGCTATAGAGCAAAACGCCACAAAAAACAAGTGCTGACAAGGGTATGAAGAACTTGGAACACTCACACATTGCTTGCAGAAATGTAAAATGGTACAGTCACTTTGCAAAACTGTATGGCAGTTTCTCAAAATGTTAAACTTAGAGTTATCCTATGACCCAGAAATTCCACTCCTGGATATACATCCAAGAGAAATGAAAATATATGTTCACACAAAAACATACACAAATACTCAGAGCAACATCATCTATAATAGCCAAAAAGTGGAAACAACCCAAATGTCCATCAGCTGATAAATGGATAAACAGAAACGAGGTGTATGCACACATTAGAATTTTATTCAGTCATGAAGAGCAATGAATGACTGATCCATGCTACAATGTGGATGGACCTTGAAAACATGCTAAATGAAAGAAGTCAGACACAAAAGGTCACATAATGTATGATTCTATTTATATGAAATGTCCATAACAGGCAAATCCATAGGGATAGAAATTAGATGAATGGTTTCCAGGGGTGTGGTGGTGGGGGGGGGAGTAACTGCCAGTGGGCAGAGTTACTTTCTCTGGTGATGAAAATATTCTAGAATTAGATAGTGGTGATGGTTGCACAACTTTGTGAGTATACTAGAAACCACTGAATTGAGCACTTTTAAAGGATGTATTTTATGGTATGTGAATTACATCTCAATTTTTTTGTCTGTTTAATGAATCTGGCAGATGACTAAGAAGTGCTGAGGACCAGAATGCTGGCCAGCAGAAGGCACCTCACATCTCTGCTCTCCCTGCTGTGGCCCGAGTTCCTCTCACTCCCAAACCCAGCCTGAAGCATGTCACTCACCTTTAGAAGCTCCCGGTGTCCACCTATATTAATCATGCCTTTTTATTTTCTGTATTTTTCAAAGTTTTGACATCTGGGGCCTTGCCGATCCTTCAGAGACTGCCCCTCCAAGAGCTAGCCAATTCTAGTAAAGGACTCACCTGCAAGTGTGCCTTTCAAATGCAAACTAACCAATGCAAAGCCCACATTCCAACCACCTCTTTTATCTAGTTCTTACACTCCACAATCTATCCATCTGCCATAATCACCCCAGGGCCAGGTATCAGAGAACAAGAGACAGCCCCCCTGGACCCCAGAGCCTGCTGAAATTATTCATACTAGCCAATCCTAAGCCTGTTTACCCTGCCCTACCTTACCTTTTCCAAAGAAACCACAATGAAGGCTCTTGCCCACTTTTTCCCCTTGCTCCCTCTGTCTCCTGACTCACCCTGGTGCTTCCCCATGTGGCCCTGCCCGGCATGCTATGCTCTCCATGTCTAGGAATCTGTGAGGAAAGACTTCCTCCTGCAAGACAGTCACTTCCATGTCTCAATGTCTAACCATACCTGATTAAAGCAGATCTCAAGAACATATTAAAACACCACCCTTCAAACCTGGTTCCACCCTCTCTTTCCCACCTAACTTCTTACCACCCCTGACACTCGCCAAGTTTAAGAGTCACCCCATACATCTCTAACTTCCTAAGCACACCACATTCCTTTGTCATATTCTAGGTACTCCTTCCCAAGGGCCCTCTCCAGCTTTCTTTGTTATCCCTACGCCGCCATCAAGCCTCACTTCATAACTCAACTGGAACGCCACCAGGATAGCCATCGTGTGCTCCAACAGAACGTGTGCATTTTCCCTCAAAGCCCTGAGCCTGTGTGTCTAGCTCCTGTCAGGCCAGTGAGTTCCCCCAAGATAAGGACCGTGATCCCTCATCTCTGGATCCCCAGGGCTTAGCACAGAGTCAGAAAAATATTGGTAACTCAGTAAATGTAGGGTTTTATTCTTTCGTACAAGAAACCTCCCCAACAGGCAAGTAAGTTCCTTGAGGATGGAGCCCTTACCCCCTGGGTCCTTAGCAGGACCACGCACATGGCTGACCCCAGGCAAAGGCTTCTGGGCTGACTGAGTGAACTGGAATGATGACTGAGCAAATAGACAGGTGGGAGGGGAGTGGGTGAAGGAGACAGGCCGGCCTCCCAGTCCCCGAGAGACAAGCTCTACTCACGCTGTTCTTCCCACTCGCGTTCCTCTTTCTCACTGGGGCGGCTCTGCAGCTGGGCCTGCTTCAGGGTCCAGTAGAGTTCCTTCGCCCTCTGCTCTTCCTGGAGGCGAATCTGCTCTTCTCCTTGCTTCCTCTCCTCTTCCTCTTTCCTCTAAGATACCACGGGGACAGGACGACGTTAGGTGACGGTAACAGGGCACGGGGGGGAAGGGCTGAGCTGTCACGGGAAGAGGTGGGCCAGTGGTGCCCCTCCAGGCTCTGTCTCTACGCACAGGAAACGGTGATACTTACACCTAATCAGGCCATGGTAAAGATCAGATGGCCTGAAACATGTGAACGATTTGTAGACTCTAAAGCTTTCTGCAAGAGTAAGAGGACTTTGGGCCACCCTTGGTCACACTTCCATTCTGGGGGGAGAGGGGAAGGGAGGCATGGAGAGGGGCCCCTGGTCTTCCTGGAGGCCAGTTAAGCAGGATATGATTATATCTTAATCTTATTTTCAGAGAAGATATTTCAGAGAGAGAGCAGCTCTGGGGGCCCCAAATCTCCAATTATTGTCCTGCTTTCAAGCCCCAAAAAGGCCGTGTGTGTATTTTCCTCTACCTTTGTTTAATCAAAGCAACATGCACACACGTGTCAATCATGCATTATATGTCAAAAGGCTTGTTGTAAAAAAACATCAATTCTCCAATCCACTTCACCCCAACCTACCCCACCCTCATCTACTGCCCAGAGGTCACCATCCTCAATGATTTTAGCTTTCCTTCATGTGGTTACATCCATGTCTGAATAATGCTGCTAATTCTTGATTTATCAATTTTAGACATTAACTACTACCTTTCTTTTTTGGTACATGAGTATTTAGCACTTATATTTCCCACACAGGTTCAAACCCATACTTTTCCTCTCCTTTACCCTCACAATAGATTTACATCACAATTTGTGGTTAAATCAAAGATGGGTGCAGAACTAAATATAGTTCACCGTAACGCCAAATAGGGTGCTATTTCCACCAATTCTAAGAATTACATTTTTTAACTTTCTAATATCTCTAAAATATGTATGTCTTACAACTTACTACTTGCCTTTTTCGTAGCCAACAGTTTTTTTCTTTCTTCTTAAAATAATCATAGATTTTACAATTAATGGCATCTGAAACTCAGTAAAACATGGCAGTGACGACTTCTCTTTCGAATAATTTTCTTTCCTGAGTTACTAGTTGCTTTATCTTGAAAGTAGAATGTTGAATTTTTGCCAAACTTCTCTAAGATCTGCAGTAAATCTTTCTCTGTGTTTAACCAAGTGCTTTTTTTTATAACAGGCAATACAGCAGTGATCTTTTCCAAGGGACGCCCGCCCCCCAGATGCATCTCTCCTTCCCCATCTCAGCTGGCTGCCATCTGCGTCTCCAGTCCATCTGTCCTCTCAGGACTCGCCTCTCAGCCTCCTGTGAGTTGAAGCCCCTGTTTCTTTGTTCCATGTTTTCTTTCTTGTCCACGTCCTCATTTTGCAGCAACATAGCTCACAATACCTCTCAGAAAAGGATGCACAGAGAGACACTTGTCTGAAAATATATTTATATATATATGTATGTATGTATTTATCTATATATATATCTATAGATAGATCTATATATAATCTATATGTGTATATACAGTCTTGTCTGAAAATATCTATATGCTACCTTCACATGTAACTTCTAGCTAAGCACAGAATCTGATTAAAAATAATTTTCCTGGGCTTCCCTGGTGGCGCAGTGGTTGAGAGTCTGCCTGCCGATGCAGGGGACGCGGGTTCGTGCCCCGGTCCGGGAAGATCCCACATGCCGCAGAGCGGCTAGGCCCGTGAGCCATGGCCGCTGAGCCTGCGCGTCCAGAGCCTGTGCTCCGCAACGGGAGAGGCCATAGCAGTGAGAGGCCCACGTAAGGCAAAAAAAAAAAAAAAATTCCTGCAGAAGTTGCAAGACTTTACTATCTTGTCTTCCAGCATCCAGTACTGCACTCGGATTCTCATTCTTCCGCATAAGGCACTAATTTTTCTCTTTATCACTGAATTCTGAACCTTTTTTTTTTGGCTGCGTTGGGTCTTCGTTGCTGCGCGCGGGCTTTCTCTAGTTGTGGCAAGTGAGGGCTACTGTTCATTGCGGTGCGCGGGCTTCTCGTTACAGTGGCTTCTCTTGTGGCAGAGCACAGGCTCTAGGTGCGCGGCTTCAGTAGTTGCAGCGCGTGGGCTCAGTAGTTTTGGCGCACAGGCTCTAGGGCATGCAGGCTTCAGTAGTTGTGGCTCACGGGCTCTAGAGCGCAGGCTCAGTAGTTGTGGTGCATGGGCCTAGTTGCTCCGCAGCATGCGGGATCTTCCTGGACCAGGGATCGAACCCATGTCCGCTGCATTGGCAGGCGGATTCTTAACCACTGCACCACCGGGGAAGTTCCTGAACCTTTTTAATAGGTGTGCCTTGATGTGGATTTTCTTTCATTGATTGTGTTAGGCACTCAAGATGCTTTTGATTGGAGTTTCAGGTCCTTCTAGTCTAATACATCTCTGCCTAGAATTTTTGTGATAATTTCTTCTCCTCTCATTTTGCTTTCTTCTTTTTAGAACCCCTATGTGTCAACTGCTGGACTGCCTGATTTGACCCAATAAGTGCCTTATCATTTCTCTTTTATTTTCCGTCTCTTGTCTTTTTGTTCTACTTCCTGGCTGATTTCACTGACTTTATCCCCCAAACCTTCTACTGAATTTTTTATTTCAGCTAGCACATTTGTAATTCCCAAGCCCTCTTTCTTATTCTTTGGTTGTTTCTTTTTGCTTCGTTGCACCCTGAAATTGTGTCATGAATGCAATAGCTCATCTCTGAGGATTTTAGAGACTTTTCTTGCCCATATTCTGATTTAGATCTGTTTCCTCTCTTCTTTGCTTTTTTGTTTTCTTTTACGTTTGTTTTATTTGGCGCCTGTCATTCGTGTTGGAGGCTTTCCTCTGATGCCTGATGTTCCCTGACTGCTCACATTCAAGAGAGGAAGTAAGTATGTATCTGAAACAGAGACTCGGAGTGTGTAGTCAGGGTTTCCTTGAGAGATGGGCTTAACTCTAGGAAGACTGGATGAAGGATCAGCCATTTCATTGAGGACCCTCAAATGTAAGTATCTGGAGGTCTTTCCTCTGAGATTATTCAGTGTCTTCTCTGTCCTACCTGGGTGGTATGAGACCACCAGCATCCCAGGAGTCTGTGGTGGGATGCAGGCTGCAGGTAGAACAGCCCTTAGACTCAAGCAAGCAGGACCCCTAACCTAAGCCCCACACTTCATGGGAAACCGATGCTTTGAGGTGTCTTTTTGCAAATCTCCCTTGCAAGTTCCCCCAAGACTGGCCAGAAATAGTACCCCCAAGACTGGCAGGGGCAGCAGTGTGGTCCAGGTAAGATGCCCCCAAGCCCAGACCAGGTCCCACATGAGTCCTAGTGCCTGCTTCTCCCCTTCAAGGTACTCTCTGACCCTCTCCTCCATGCAAGGGGTTAACCAAGTGCCCCAAGGAGCTCCAGGATTCATATTTATGGAGTCATCCTGGGGCCCAGTGGCCAGGCCCTCGTTCCAGAAGGGTGGCCCAGCAAGCGGATGAATCCTATTCGCCAACACAATATTTTTATCATAGGATCACATGAGATTGGGCCACCAGAATAGAGCTAATAGGCTGATTTTATGTAGTTCAAATTCTTAATTTGCTATAGACAGAAACACCACCAAAAAAAAAAAAAAAAAAGTTGCCAGCCCTGTACACCCTACAGGCAAACCTGGCTGCAGGTCCCACTGTTCAGAGTTCAGACCTTTGCTTGCTCCCCCTGTTTCCCACTTGCCCCCCATCTGCTCTCTCCACTCAGCCTGACACGCTGAGCCCCAACCTTGCCCTTGCAACTCCCCATCTCCTCCTGGTTAGAGGAAGGGATCAAGTAGCCTGGAAGAAACAGGTGAAAGCAGGGACCTGAGGGTCCAGCCACCCCACATAGAAACTTGCCACCAATCCCACATTCTCAGCGCCAGCCTTCATGTATCTGCTGCCCCCGAGTCCCGAGCCTGTGGGGACTCTGGACCGAGTCGGCTCAGTGCCACCAGCCCTCTTCCTGCAGGAGCCCGGCTGACCCACGCACCACTCTCCCTCCGTCTTCCAGAAACCAAACTTCTGTGGACATTTTCTCATCTGTTCTTCCCTTCTCTCATTTTCTCTGTTTTTGTGGCTCATAACTTTTGCAGTCCACTGATATTTTAATGGATCGAAAAAAAAAAAAAGAAGACAGTAACTGAGTTTTGAGTCCCTCATTTAAAAAAAAAAAAAAGGCAAGGATTTTGTTGCTTCTGAAATGGCACAGATTGAGGACTTTTCTCCAATCCAATGGTTTTTTTAAATTCTAAAACATAGACAAAATTCCAGCTTCTTATTGACCCACTCTCTAGGCGTCAGGAATTAAGGGCTAAAGGAGTTGAGCGGCTTCATCTAGTCGTTCACCAAATCCCTACTGAGCGTCCAGGAGGCTCGGCCTGCTCCAGGCGCTGGGGATGTAGCCATGATCAAGGCAGGCACAGCACCACTCTCTCGGAGCTTGCCTTCCAATGATGGAAAAACACTCATCAAGTAAAATAAAAAAATATATCGGAAATAATAAAGCGTGCAGAGAATTAAAACCGGGTAAGTGGTAGAGTCTGGGAGGCTACTGTAGGCTGCGTGACCAGAAGTCCTCTCAAACAGGACTGATCTGAGACCTAAATAATAAGAAGGCTGATGAGCGAGTCTCAGGGAGAAGAAATTTCCAGAGCAAGGGAACCACAGGTGCAGTGGCCCCAGCACTGGAAACAGGTTTGGCATGTTTGAGTAGAGAATTATCCACTGTGGCTGGAAGGAAAACAAACACAATTCTATCTTTAATGAGTTTGAGACGCCATCTGACATCCAAGAGGCCTGCCGTGGGCAGTGGGACGTGTGATCCCAGGACTTGAGGGTGGGTACAGGCTGCAGATGTTGACTGAGAGGTCCTCTGCTCGGGGGTGATGTTTCTCAGCCATGGACTTGATGTTATCAATGCGAGAAAGAAGGTAGATCAAGAGAAAAAAGCCAGGGTGTCTTGGGGCGCTGAGCCATTTTAAAGTTGGGAGAAAGAGC